CATCTTGATAAAATTAGACAATTCTTAGGGTGAGCAGTTTAGCCCCTATGCCTTCGCATCCTAGCTACCAGGTTTAGTTGCCCCACATTCATATTTGAGATATTTTCAGAATATGAATGTGGAAAATTCAGGTAAGAATCGTAAAACAGACATTCAAGAAAGAAACCATTTCCCCAATTTTCTTCCCTTCATAAGGTGACTTTTTATAATTCAGGACCTACATCTACATGCTTCAATAATATAATATTTCACAAAAGTAAAATTTACAATTATTACTACATTAACCGGAGCACTACACTCATCGGAGGTGTCCATTTATAGGTCAGAGCTCCTATCCATACTTATAAGAAGATCTCTTTTAATAATAAAAATTCAAAACAGTTAATCGCACTAGGCACAGTTAATAGCACTATATTAAAAAAATAAAATTTTATATTAAGGTATATAAAAATGATTTTTTTACTAATCCAGTATCAAAGGTCATTCATCCAAATTATTTGTGCAGTGTATTTAAAAATAGTTCATAATACTTAGTTAAGCCTTATGCGTCTCAATGGATGGCCGTTGACTCCTGCGTCACTGGATTATATGTAATCGTAAATTTATACTTGTGATATGCTTTCTACTGGCTTCGTGTTACACAAGTCGTTCTATAAAATCGGTTTAGTCATACAACTCACCGAAAATCAGTTTTATAAATATTTAATGTTTTGATTTTTAAATGAAATTATCTAGTTACGGAGGTTTAATTATAATTTCTTTATACTTACCAGAAAGTAAAAAGAGAAGAAACATTCCAGTGGTAAGAACAACTTTAAAGAAACTGAAATTCATTTTGAAAGATTTGCTTGTCTTGATTTATTTTTGAGTCATTTATATACGAGGGTGTTTCGAAAAGTAAAGATACACCGTACGCCAGAGGAAAAGAAAAGTTTTGGCGAGCAAGTTGGCAACACAGGTATAGCATAGTAATTCAGCATTTCAACCTTGAACCGTTAGCTTTCTCCTCGCGGTCGTTCAGCATTTCAACGTTGATTCTGATTGGAGTAGGTCGTGTTTAAAATGGTTGCGGCGATTCAGATTCCCGCCAAATGCGAAGTGCGCTACGTCATACGTTTTCTTCATGCAAAAGGTCAGAGACCAGCGGATATTCACAAAGAAATTGTTTCTGTTTATGGGAACGTTATGAATAGACAAATGGAGTCCGCTTGCTTCATNACATAATTTAATCAAGTGAAAACAGCATAAAAATTACAAATAAACACACAAAAAAAAATTTCAAACTCCAGCGGAAAAGAACATATAATAGAAGAAGAGCTCGCCGAAAATCAGTTTTATAAATATTTAATATTTTGATTTTTAAATGAAATAGTCTAGTTACGAAGGTTTAATCATAATTTCTTTATACATACCAGAAAGTAAAAGGAGAAGAAACATTCCAGTGGTAAGAACAACTTTAAAGAAACTGAAATTCATTTTGAAAGGTTTGCTTGTCTTGATTTATTTTCGCACTAGTATCGAGTCATTTATATACAAAACTCATGTAACGAAACTTAATATGAATTTCACGTTTTAAGCTTATACATTATTCCCTTTTAATGAAGCGAGACATCTTAACATTATTTCATGATCTTTAAATCATGATCCTTCTAGAAAAAGGTGATTTTGAACTGTTAATTAGAATAAAAAATATGGAGTGATTTTGATATGAAGTATGATAAGGTTATGGAGTACCTAGCGAAATGTTTACTGAGAACGATAGAAAAAAGTTACTTGATACTTAATTTATTTCTTGCTATACATTACGTGATGGAGGATTTAAAGATTTTCAGCTGTTTAAACAATACTGGTGATAGTACAAAATTATTCTTGATTTTCATCTGGATCTAAATGGCTTTGAATTTTAGTCGAATAATATTGGTTTTCTTAATCAAAGTGAAGTATAGGCCCATATTAATCAAGTTTTATACCTCATGTATGATTCATAAAATATATTATATAAGCCTGATTGTATTTGTTTTATGTGCCGGTAGAATAGATATGTGTGGTTCATAATAAAGTGAAAAATAAAAATTTGAAGTTTTTATAAAATAATTTTACGCAATATTGACAATCATTGAGTGTGTGTGTTCCTTAAAGTAATTTTTAGAAGGATTATCTATCATAGGGAAGAATTGTCTACGTTTGAGAAAGAGGGGAGAAAGCGTAACTCGTTGTGGTTTGAAACAATTATAACAAACACTTGAAATCTAACAACAAAAAAATTAATAGAATAACATTATTTAATTACTGACCAGTTTTGGGCCAGCTTTGTCACTTTTTAAAATTATCTAGTGCAACATATGAACTTTAATGATAACCGATTTGAATGCATGCCACAACTGTATTTAAATATTCCGATTCTTCTGTCACTCATCTAGTCCTATCGACATAATTAGCTTCAAGCAATATATTAACCAAATTTACTTCATACTGGCCATTGTACACCGGAAGTACATTGATTTAAATTTTAATTATATATTCTGTAGCACCTCAAGGTATTCTTCAGAAAGGAAAAACTACGATTGGAGGTACTTTTTTCCCAGTAGCTGAAAGGTTGGTCAAAACTGTTGTTCTTTCTTTTTCATTCCAAGGAACTATAGAAAATAATTCCATATAATTTTTAGGGCAAAAGATTAAATTGGGTCACCAACGAACTGCCGCCCTGACGAATTGTGCGCAATGAATTGTCCCACAACGAATTGTGCCCGACGAATTGACACAGCACCGTGAATTTGTTATTAAAATGTTCAGTACAACATATGCTAAAATTACCATACCATGGATAATGAAAATTACCATATTATGGGTAACAGTGAGGACGTAGATGATTTCATTACTAGGATTAGTTCATGATTTTCAAGGGTGAATCATAAATGTTATGAAAATAATCCCATTTATCTTTTCCATCACTCTTTATTCGTTTTATTATTAAGCTATTATTTTTAATCCTGTTTGTAAATCTTCACCGAAATTTTAAGAACTCATTTTAATCTAATTTTGTGTAGTATTAATTTAATTGTAAATGAGTTGTTCAATTGTAAACATAGTTATACCTTTTTTAGATTTGCTCATTTAAAGTGAAAATAATTACTTTAACTGTAGTTATATGCAATAACTTTTATACTTTTAAATTACATCTTAATTAAAAATAAAAAAATAAAGAAATTTATTTAACAGAAAGAACTTTCCCCACAGAGGTCATTTTTACCGTAAAATCGTTATTGTTTCTAAAAGAGTTTATCAGTCAATCCTGAGTCAAATTTGTATTTATTTAAAATATATTAAAAATTATTTATTGTATTTATTTAATAATTATTTTCATTTGTATTTATTTAAAATTTTGAAGTTTCTTAACTAGCTTTGCAAATAAATGACTGGTGTATTAAAGAAGAAAGAAGAACACCATAAAATTTTTGTCGGCAATCAAATCAGTTTTTATTATTTTAATTTTATCTTCCTCAATCATGTTTCTTCAGGTTTTCATGATGTTCTCGTTGAAATATTATTTAATGGATCCCTAATTACACACTTCTTTTACTCTTGACAATAATTTAAAAAATATATACTACGGTACGGACAGTACGAATACGATATACAAAATTTGAACTCATCCATATCGTTAAAGAGTAAAAGGACTCGTGTGATGAGATATGAACTGAAATAATGTTTGTGTATGGAATGTAGCTAGTGAAACATATTTATAATGTAAATTATAGTTTATGTATGAGCTGTTCAAATGACGTATTTGCATGTACTTGATGATGATTTACGATAAAAGTATTGCTGTAAAAAACACATTCCTTATGATGTCAATAAAGATATTTCAAAGTAAAATTTGTTTTTGCCATTTAAACTCGGCAGCTGGAATCTCACAAAAAGAGCGCACACTTCTTTTTTTTATTTTTTAACACAGTCAATTTTTTATGTTCGCAAAGGGGACGGTCGATCGCTAATAATTGTGATGGCTTAATGGACGACGAAAAAAATTGGTCTTTAGGAGTTTCAGTGTTACCCTAACTCTATGCAGTTACGTATTGAGTAGTTTCTATAAAACTTCTAAATCGAAGAAGAAAAGGAAAGCAATCCTTTTTCTAGATACATCATCTTTTAAAACTTCTAAATGTCTATTAATGCGTACTAACGAAGCATTCTTAATGCATGTCTCAACTCTTAAGATTTCACAAGACTGCACTTTATTACTAAAAGGATTGATTAAAAATCTTCACAGAACTTTAAAAGCCTGTACGCTAGACAGGATTTCTACTTTCAATGCTTTTAAGAATTCGGTCATCTTTGAAGGAAAACTTGTACTACTGTAGCAAAACTTGTATATAGAACATCACTAAGACTTCCCAGAAAATTTCTTGCGCAACAAGAAAAACAACATACATCAGAATTAAATTCGCACTTCAAAAAGTTCATAGAAAAACTAAAGTAAATGCAATCAGTCCAATCATTCACAACGTCCAGTATTTATTCATAAAGATTTGGAAAATTGGAGTCACATATTTGTTCACATCGACAAAATTAAACCAGCTTTACGTTTTCCTTATAAAGGACCATGCGTTATCAAAAACTATTACTAAAATTTTATATATTATCCATTAAAGGTCAAGACGTGAATATGTCTAAAAAAATTATTATTTTTGTCGAAACTATTTATAGAAACTTTACAACTAAACTTTTAGATAAGTCTCACGAAACATAATTATTTTCTTTTTCTATTTTAATCTTCTCATTTTTTGATGCATTTGGTTCTACTGAAAATCCTCATCTGAAACTAAATAGTCTGCATCCGTTAATCAACTAAAGAAATACACTTGACATTTAACAATGTACTCTTTTAAATTCACTTAGTAACCAGACCAACTCACACACGCACAAACGTTTTTCAGAGAAAACTTGCTGCGCATTGAAAAATGCAAACGGAGTTATGAGTAAAGAAAGACAAATATAAATGCACACAGAAATATTTATTTCATTTCTTATAAAACTAAACTTGTTTCATTGTTTAGATTTTGATCATTTCCTTGAAATGCAGGATCATATATATTTATCCAGCAAAAACTTCTTCCATATCTGCAAAATAGAAAATTTTTGATGTAAATTATTTTTTCTTTCATATATTTTATTGCCCATAGCATTAAAAGTAGCGGCAGATAAATATTTAAGGAGTGTTACTTTGATTCGGAAAATAGTAAAATATTGAATCAAAGACTTAAAAACATAAGCTGGAAGAAATCTGAATTCATAACTAAGACTAGATCTATGTTCCATAATTAAGTAAATGATAAATGGTAATTCAAAACTTTCAGTCTGTGTATGGTATTCTCACTGCTTACCGGACTTCTTTCTTTCTTTTTTTTTAAATATTAAAACTATACGAGAGTGGTATTGTATTAACGTTTAATGCACACAAAAATTTCTATACTTAATATCGCATTTTTAATCATTTTAATTTATCTTTTATTTCATAAACAGTGTTGAGACCCGACAAATTTTTGGGCTTACGGCCATTAACCCCTTAACTGCCGCGGGCGTATATATACGTTTCGGCCAGACGATGCGTTAACTGCCGCAGGCGTATATATACGCTTTCCCGAAGTACCATGCTTTGCATTGCGCTGCTATAAATAGAACTACACCCTGTACTTCAGAATGCAGTAAAATGGCCTTGAAAGTGTTTGCTTTGCGAATGTATTACTAATTTCGGAGGAGGGGGAATGGGAAAAGGATGTTATGGAAAAGTGATATTGTATTTATTAATCGCTTGGTTGTATTTATTTGAGTAAGGTCAGGCTTATTCTTTTTTCGCTTTCGTTTCCCGTATGTATTTGGTGCTTTTTATTATTTCCATCAACGTCTTCAAAGAAAAATGCATCGCCAAAATGTGCTGTCTGTTCATGAAAAAAAATTCGTCGTGAATCCCGCTATCAGTGCGATGAATGTGATGTTGGTTTATGTGTCCAACCATGTTTCAGGATTTATCATACAACAGCTAAGTTTTAACATCTTTTATATTGTATTTTTATTATTTAATTTAAATTTTGTATTTTCTTTCTTTCCTTTTTCTTGTCTTGTAANTAAATTTAAATTTAATATTTTCTACAATAATAAAATAAAGAATGTTTTTGTGTGTGTCTTTCTTATAACTTCAGAATCGTTTATTCTATGATCCTGAAATTTAGCTCCGTTTCCAAAAATTGCAATTAAGCCATTCAGAAGGGACTTTTAAAAAAGGGAAATTTTTCATTGTTTCTGAACAAGTCATTGATATAAATATAGCTGCATACTATTCCGTTTAAAAAAAAAACCTCAGTTTAATAATTCTGAAAGGTCAAAATAAATTGTGCTTGCTTGCTTATAGCTCACATTAATAAAAAAAAGGACATAGCACGTTAAATACATAATTCTTTTCTATTCTTTATGTTAAATCGACTTAATGAGAGTGGTAGGATAGGTGGACTACGTCGCTAAATTGGAACTTTTACATTTATCTGAAACCACGGTACCTGAGGTAGGCGGTTGTTAACTTGGTGGTTTGACTTTTTTAAGAAAATAAGTTATTTAATAAAACGTGATCGATGAATTTTCGTGATTGATATATTGTAGATAAATTGATCAATCGACATCTTGATTAAATTAGACAGTTCTTAGGGTGAACAGTTTAGCCCCCAAGCCTTCGAATCTTAGCTACCAGGTTTAGTTGCCCCACATTCATATTTGAGATATTTTCAGAATATGAATGTGGAAATTTCAAGTAAGAATCGTAAAACAGACATTCAAGAAAGAAACCATTTCCCCAATTTTTTTCCCTTCATAAGGTGACTGTTTATAATTCAGGACCTACATTTACATGCTTCAATAATACAATATTTCACAAAAGTAAAAATTATAATTATTACTACATTAATCGGAGCACTACACTCATCGGCGGTGTCCATTTATAGGTCAGAGCTCCTATCCATACTTATAAGAAGATCTCTTTTAATAATAAAAATTCAAAACAGTTAATCGCACTAGGCACAGTTAATAGCACTATATTAAAAAAATAAAATTTTATATTAAGGTATATAAAAATGATTTTTTTACTAATCCAGTATCAAAGGTCATTCATCCAAATTATTTGTGCAGTGTATTTAAAAATAGTTCATAATACTTAGTTAAGCCTTATGCGTCTCAATGGATGGCCGTTGACTCCTGCGTCACTGGATTATATGTAATCTTAAATTTATACTTGTGATATGCTTTCTACTGGCTTCGTGTTACACAAGTCGTTCTATAAAATCGGTTTAGTCATACAACTCGCCAAAAATCAGTTTTATAAATATTTAATATTTTGATTTTTAAATGAAATTATCTAGTTACGGAGGTTTAATCATAATTTCTTTATACATACCAGAAAGTAAAAGGAGAAGAAACATTCCAGTGGTAAGAACAACTTTAAAGAAACTGAAATTCATTTTGAAAGATTTGCTTGTCTTGATTTATTTTCGCACTAGTATCGAGTCATTTATATACAAAACTCATGTAACGAAACTTAATATGAATTTCACGTTTTGAGCTTATACATTATTCCCTTTTAATGAAGTGAGACATCTTAACTTTATTTCATGATCTTTAAATCATGATCCTTCTAGAAAAAGGTGATTTTGAACTGTTAATTAGAATAAAAAATATGGAGTGATTTTGATATGAAGTATGATAAGGTTATGGAGTATCTAGCGAAATATTTACTGAGAACGATAGAAAAGAGTTACTTGATACTTAATTTATTTCTTGCTATACATTACGTGATGGAGGATTTAAAGATTTTCAGCTGTTTAAACAATACTGGTGATAGTATAAAATCATTCTTGATTTTCATCTGGATCAAAATAGCTTTGAATTTTAATCGAATAATATTGGATTTCTCAATCAAAGTGAAGTATAGGCCCACATTAATTAAGTATGTACGATTCATAAAATATATTACATAAACCTGATTGTATTTGTTTTATGTGCCAGTAGAATAGATATGTGTGGCTCTTAATGAAGTGAAAAATAAAAATTTGAAGCTTTTATAAAATAATTTTACGCAGTACTGACAATCATTGAGTGCGTGTTTGTTCCTTAAAGCAATTTTTAGAGGGATTATCTATCATAGGGAAGAGTTGTCTACGTATGAGAAAGAGGGGAGAAAGCATAACTCGTTGTGGTTTGAAGCAATTATAATAAACACTTGAAATCTAACAAAAAATAATAATAGAATAACAATAATTAATTACTGATCAGCTTTAGGTCAGCTTAGTTATTTTTTAAAATTATCTAGTGCAACATATAAACTTTAATGATAACCGATTTGAATACATGCCACAACTGTATTTAAATATTCTAATTCTTCATTCACTCATCCAATCATATAGACTTAATTAGTTTCAAGCAATATATTAACCAAATTTGCTTCATACTGGCTATTGCACACCGGAAGTACACTGATTTCAATTTTAATTATTTTCAAGAGATGCCCATTAGTTCTTCATGTGTAGAATTTTAGCAATAATTTTTAAATAATTAATATAGTAATTTTTTTTCCTTCTCGGCAGCTATTTAATTACACATAGCACAGTAAGAAAAATAAGTAATGACATTATTTTCCTCTCTGTTGTTACCATTAGATCGAAAATTAATCGAATTTATGGTACTACGTAAGAGAAATCTTAATATGCTGGTAAATATATATAAAAAAAGCTAACTGACGATTGCTTAGAACCAAGACGATTGCTAAAGACATAACAAAGCGTCTATTGCTTAATGAACAGTTTCAGTTTCAACTGAAATTTTTAGTTCAATTTTGACACTAGCTTCACCATGCTTTCAGGAAAAAAAATAGTATCACGGTGACGTAGGTTAAGATTTTAAAATCCAAGGGTATAGATGTTAACAGATCTCATTCTGCAGATTTGGTAATCTTACCGCATGACAACCTCGACATGAACAGCAGCTGGCATCAATCGATTAGTAATATCCATCTTCTATTGCATACATTTTTAAAATAAGAAGAAAAAAAGATGAAGAAACATTGAGCAGATATTTATTTTTCATCCATCATTTTTTTAAAAGTGGAACAGTCTTTAACTGCTCTTCAGATGCTTCTTGTAACAAAATTCTGTTGCAAATTTTGAAAGCATCTGTACAAAATTTTTTTTCAGCACCTTGATTAAATAAATAAAGAACTGAGGTAATTGCGAGTATTTTTACAAGTTTTTCAAAGTTAATTTTTGTTTTTCTTCAAATTTAAATTTGTTACGGTATTTTTTGATTTCACAAAACCCGAATAATTGAAATAATTTTATTCCATGAATGATGGCGCATTGTGCACGAAACGTTCAAAATATTTTTATTATTGACTATATTTTATTGCTACTGTTATTTATTGGAAATTTTTCAATAGTTAACATCATTAAAAATATATTAGTTACACTTATAGAGGATTAAAAGGAGGAAAAAATCATAGCTGATTAACAACTACTAACTTATTACTAACCAACTTGCTTTAGTATTGAAAAGTTATTTTGAAATTATGAAAGTTTTCAAGAGCCATTTCTCTCAAACTAATAAAATGAAGCTTTTATTCCCCACATTTTATAAAACGTTTGTGCTTACCAATATATTCTGTTATTTAATAATAAAATAAATAAGTAAATAAAATTAAAATAGGACATTTAAAAAAACTAAACTTAATAATTTTAACCCAAAATTCAAGATGACGATTAAAAACGCTAATAAACGATCAATAATCCATATATTCTATGCTTAAGCTAGAGAATAATTTAAAGATTTATGAAAAAGGAAGAACAAAAATTATCAAAATGTAAAAAATTCTTTTTAAAAATATTTAAAAATTTTATTTACAAATTTTAAAAAAAAATTAAGGGTTAATTTTTGAATTCTTTTCTTTTTTTACTTTGATTTGATAATTTTTTGATGAAAGTATTTAAAAAATTTATCTAAAAATTAGAAGAAAAAAATTAAAAATCTGTAAAGATGTAAAACTTGCCCCAATATTGAAACATATAAATTCAAATAACGAAATCTAAATCTGTTTGTAAAATTAATAATGATATTTATAGGTAAACCTGTTTGTTTTTGTAATTAGAAATATTTTGGACAAACTAACAACTCTTTTAATATTAGAATTAATCAACATCGTTCAGATATAAACAGTAATAAAATGATCAAAACCCTAGCATTGAATCATTTTAGAGTGCATGCTTTAAACAGTATTAAAATTAATGTTTTAGGTATAGTAGAAGATATCGATTTATGACTACGAAAAGAAAATTATTAAATGCTTTTATATAAAAACAATTTTGCCATATGGGCTAAACGATATCTTCCAACATACACAGTTCAACTTTCACATTAAAGATAAGCGTTACGAATAGGCGTACGATTCGAGGTAGTAATAAAAACCCTTCTTATAGTGAAAAATTAAGTGCAAATTTTATTTCCTTGAGGATAATGATATATATAAACTTCAAGATCTAATTAACAACTTTTCTGTTACTAATTTACCCTTTAAAATTCTATTTTTCGATCATATAAAAGCAAAAATGAGTAAATTTTCACCAAACAAAAAAAAAATTCAGATAACTTATATTTCATTATTAACTTTCAAAACCCGATTTTCAAAAACTTTAAATTTCATAATCTTTTTGAAAATTTAAAAAACTTGCTTCCATTAAAATATTTTAACACAATTAAAAGTTATAAATGTAATAAAACTCTTGGTATAAAACTATTTTTAATTATAATGATATTAGCAAATTCTGAAATACTTTCTTAATAATCTCAATAATTTTTGTTTAAAGATATCAAACAGATTCTCTTTATATTTAGGTATATTAGCAGAATAGAAATGGGCTGTTTATTATTACTTTAAAAAAAATTATTTCTCAATAATAAAGAAATTTTAAATAATAGCTACATTTCAACAAATTTTTCTAAAATTGATCTATTAATTAAGCAATTACAAAAATAAATTGTAATTAGCCCCTTAGGCAAAGCTGACGATAACTATGCAATCTTCTATAAAGAATTCTATATTGAACTTTTAAATAATAGTTAAAAATAGTAAAAATTTAATTGACAAAATTAATTTAAATAATAAAATTATCATTAAAGCATTTTAGCTTTATCTAAGAGTTTAAAAATCAAAATTAATAATATGCAATTTCCACTCTGAACTATCAGTACGAAATTTCATGAAATCCTATTAAATTGAGAGCAATCATTTGAGGGTTTAATACTCAACTAACTAAATCTGGCACCATTTTTTCTCTAACTAATAAAATAAAATTATTAACAATATTATTAAAGAAGGTTTTTCTTGAATTATGACTAATTAAACCAAGTGAAAATAATTCCAATGCAACTTTTGATATCTAGGATCGCTTCAAAAGCATTCCCCTTTCAAAACTAAAAGATGTCCTTTTGAGTTACTACTATGATTATAAAAATATCTTTAAGTGCAGTTTTGATTATTGGGAAATTCTAATTTAAATTTGTTTTTTTAGTAATTATATTTACAGTGTCAAACATATATTTGTTCAAATTGATGGAATACCACAAGGATCTAATTTTTCATCTCTGTTAGCTAATTTATTTGTACTCTATTATGAAAAAAATATTACACTCTTAATATTAAATTTGTTTTTGAATTTATTGATGAATTTAGAATTATCTTTGATACTGATAATATTTAGAATTATCTTTAATTTTCAAAATTATACAATTTTGTTAGATAATATTTAGCCTAAGGATTTAATCCTGCCTCCTAATCATAATGATAATATTAATTTTAGTTTTTTGGGTTTAGGTACTAAAAAAGAAGAACATATCTGCATTGTTGATTTATATGATAAGAGAAATAAATTTAAATTTAGTATAAATAAACTAATTACTTGGAATTTGAATGCTTCTAAAAATATTTGTTTAAGTACCATTTTTAATCAAATGAATAGAATTAAAAGAATCCATAGTATTATTTATTTATCCAAAAAAACAAATGGACACACTCTTCCAAAATCTGATTTTTAAAAAAAACGATGAATACCCTACTAATGCAATTAAGTTCTATATAAAATCATTGAGTTAATTGAATGTTATAATTATTAAGAAATTTATTAAAACTTTCTTGTTTAACTACATTTATACTTTTATCATATGCATATTCCAATTCAGGAAATTCCGTGACAAAAAAAACCTACTAAAAAATTTTTCTCTAAAATCATTAAAATTGTATAATTAAAAACCTACCTTAGGGATTTTAATTTTTAATATTTTATATCTGTCGTTAAACAGCTGACTCAATTTTGGGTTTACGACTACTAATGTTCAACTCTGTAGCCTTGTAATTTTGAACAAATCCAGAAGACAAGAAAACTCCTAGTACCCCCAGAGGTATGGTTTTGTTATGGGAACATGGAGGACTTTGCGACTCGCCAGATTTAGCGTGCATCAGTCACCATTTACTACATGGGGAGTCTTCGGTCGGCCTAGGATCGAATCAACGAGCTCTTGAGCATGGTGCATTTCCTCATTTCCTTGTAATATTTTCCCCTTTTCATCTCTGTCAGCAATTTATTGATTTAAATTAGAAATGTGCCTCAAAATTTAACTTTTACAATTTTTCCTACATATTTAAATTCTAATGCTCATATTAATAACACTTAAAAAGAAT